CTGGGTCTGAGGCCAGTGCGGCCGGCCGTCCTGGGACCATTCTGGATCAAGCCTGCTCCCCGGGCATGCCCGCCCTCGCCCGGAGCAAGCCAGCCTTTCTGCCCATCCTCCTGCTTGCTCCCCGCTGCCCCTCATCTTCCATCTGCCCTGGCCCAGAAATCCCGTTTCCCCGGTGGTTGGTGGGCGGGGGGGATGTTAGGGAAGGGGCGCCGGCCCGTTCTCCCTCATCCCCACCACCTCAACCTCCCTTTTTCCTGGGGTGATGGTCCCCCCACCCCCCTGCTGCAGAGGTGTGGCCGGCTACTCTGCTGATGAAAGTCCCTGGTGGGGAGAGGCAGGGGCAGGGACGAGGCCTGGTGACCAGAAAGAGCCAGAAAGGCAGCCCTTGAGCCTGAGATACCAAGAGGAGGGAAGGGGGGGCGGCGAGAGCAGCTGCTGGCCCCCGGGACCCTGTGGGGACAGGGACAGGCCCTGTGGCCACAACACAGGCTGAGCCGAGGGCTGGGCATTTAACCGTCACCAGCTCCCAGGGAAGCACCTCGGTGGGGTGCTCTGGGCGGGAAGCGGGGGGTAGAGAGAGGTCCAGGGCTCCGGCAGCATCACAGGGCAGGGCAGTCCTGCACCTGGTGGCCGCCTCCTGTCACCTGGCCTTGAACACCTGTGTTCCTGGGAGAGGCGCATCCCTTCGGTCAGGCCCGCAGGTCAGGCTAAAGCCTGCACTGCAGGCGAGCGTGGGGCGCCCGCCCTGGCTCTGTCCAGCCCGGGGCATGTCTCCGCCCCTGGGCCCGTGTCCTTGTCCGTCAAATGAAGGACTGGACAGGGTGGCCCCTTCCAGCTCGGACATGCTGAGCTTCTAACGAGGGAGCCGGCCCTCGGCTGGGGCAGTGGGCAGGCCCTGTCAGCGGGCAGGGACCCCCTGCTTGCTCCCTGAGGCCCTCCGGTACGGAAGGGACTGTCCCACGCTGCTTGGGGGTGAGGGGAGGGCAGGCCGAGTTAGACAGCTGGCTCGCTGCCCCTCCGGTGGCTTCTGGGGACCAGCCCTGTGTGCTGGTGGCCAGGCCACACCCAGGGCCGTGGCTTATGTCTCCACGTCTGGCTCTGGTCTCTCAGCTGTTCTACCGTAGCCTGTCCCTCTCGTGTCTTCCCGGCCGAGCCCACAGTGCATGTCTGTGGTGGGCAAAGCGACATCCCCACAGAGGGGAGGGGAGAGCGGGACCCGTTCTTTCACTCGGGGACGCAGGTGTTGTCACACCCCGAGCCCAAGTCCTGGGGGCGGGAGCATCAGATCCTGCCGCCTCCAACTCGCCC